TAATAATATGACTTTCTTCTCAAACATCTTTATTCTTGTAATGTTACGACTAATCTCCTAATAATATGACTTTATTCCCTTAATAATAATAAAAATCTCGTGTGACCCTAATACTCTGCTAACTGTTGTGGTTTTTACAACTCAGCAGATCRAATTCAAAATAAAACATAGTGAGTAGTTTTGTGTCTCAGAGATTTAAAAAAATCTGAGTGATAAATGTTTGTATAGAAGCCGAAGGTAAAGAAAAAGTGATTTATTCTTTCAGCAGGATGTTTTTTTCCCTCCTCCTTGTTTGCTGAGCCCCCCTGTTATCGCCTTGTTCAAACATCTATTCAGATACATCTCAAACATGTGGCTGACTGAAGTTTACATATCAAACAAATTGGCCTATGATATCGGAGACGGCTGTGTGTCTCTCGTGAAATGTGCTCATTATATCAGTCCGGACATCACAGAAATGGGGCACGTCCCTAAAGACAGGAGGCTCCTGCTCAGATTTCAGGAAGGACTTTCTTTGTCCTGCTTCACGGACACAAAGAAGAGATTTATGTTATTTATTTTTTAAGTTAATTATATAAAATTAAAAACAAAGAAAATAAATACTTCTTCATTATAAGACATGCACAAAACTTTTTACTACTTTAATGGCTGAGTTACGACAAAATGAATATTAATGCTTGAAGTTTAATTTGTTTTCACATAGCTTATTTTTGTGCAAAAAAAAGAGCAAAACAAGTTTTTATTCAAAGATCAAACAACAAACAATTCATTCAACCTATTTCAACGAGCTCTGTGAGAGGTGTAGACTGTCTCTTTAGCAGCTAATCATCTTTACAGGATATGTCAAAGGATAATGAAGTGGAAGCTCTCAATCAGTCATATTTTTCTGTCGCGGTCATGCTTGCATCTTGCCGAATGACTAATGATTGTTCTGTTGGGTTATTAATCGAAGTAATCGGCCAAAATATCCAGTCTGCTGAGACTTTAATGTGCCACCTCCTCGAATCAGCTCTCTCACTTTGCTGTTTTTAAAAGTTAGAAGGAAACTTTGAACATTTGAATGTTTCTCTTATTTTATATTTAATATAGTTCTGTTTATACCCACCCTCGTTAGGTCAATTTTGAAAATTAGACATCCCTTTTTAAACAAAATTGACTCATTATAGAAATACTAAAATGATCAAAAAATTGTTTGTTTTTGTCTGAAAATGCTGACTTTTAAAGCGTTAAGGAATGTATTTGGTCCAAACATATTTCTTGAAATCATTTATATACATGTATACAAGTTTAAGATTTTATTTTGCTAAACTTTAAGGTATTGTTGTAGTAATTTTAGCTTTTAGTTTTTGTTTAGCCAGTTTTGGCTTTTAGCTATTGTTTCACTGAATAAAGCTTTTAGCTACTATTATAATAATATAGAGGTTTTAACTACTTTTTCTAATTTTAGCTTTTGTTTTACTAATTTGAGCCCATGATTTCTTGCTGGTTTTAGCTTTTAGATATTGTTTTGCTAAATTTAGATTTTGCATTGCTAGTTTTTAGCTTTTAGGTATTGTGTTGCTGGTCTTAACTTATGGTCCATGGTTTAGGTAATTTTTTAGCCACTGTTTGGCTAATTTAGCCTTTTGTTTGCCTATTTTTTTCTTTAAGGTTTTATTGCGCTAACTTAAGCTTTTTGTTTTGCTAGTTTTAGCTTTTAGTATTTGTTTTGTTTTAGCTCTTGGTTACTATTTTAAGAATTTTAGGTTTTAGCTACTGTTTTGCTAATTTTAGCTTTGTTTTGATTGTTTTGAATGTTAACAATTCCATTTTATCTTTTCCAACAAATTTCAGAAAAGTAATTCAGAGCTCTCTGGATTTGAACTGAAAATGTGATTTTTTTCGTGTTTTCTTTTAACACCTGAGTACTTTTTGAAAAAGTCATAACAATCTTTTAGTTATCAAAATAAAATATGTGGAGGCCAACAATCAGAAAAAAGAAGTAATAAAAGTTGACTACATATTTGTTTTAGTCAGTGTTTCACCCTGTAACCATAGATATGCCGATAGGATAAATGTTGAAAATCATAACTTATCTTGCTTTTTTTTTCTCTTTCACCATAGCTGCTTTCTGTCTCTACTCCTGGTGGCAGCAGTGGTGTGGAAGATCAAACAGACCTGTTGGGCTTCACGACGCAGAGAAGTAAGTCCACAATTATGTTGACTTGTAAAGCAGGCCAAACTTTCCTTATGTAACTTGTAGTTTCTTCTAAAGGTGTCCTCTACTGAATGCAGCTCTGACACTTGGTATCCCATTTCATCTAAARATATTCTTAAAAATGATGTGGCATTCATTGGGAAATTTACTGTGATTTTCACTTTAAGTACAGTCTGTGCCAGATGTGATATTAATGTTAGACATATAGCTGTTATACCGTATTTTTCGGACTATAAGCCGCACCGGACTATTAGCCGCACCCCCAACATAAAAAACAGTACACCCAAAATTGTCGTCAAAAAAGTGAATTCAGCATCAAAACATAAAAAGCAAACCTTTAAGAATTAAAGTTCGGAGGAATACGGTTCATTTAACTGACCTTATTTTGGTAGTTTTCTTTAACAGTTTCTGGTCCAACAAAACGTCTCATTCATCGTCCTCMGGCGCACTGAAACCATCGAAGTCCTCCTCTTCAGTGTCGGAGTTAAACAAGCTGAGAAAAGCTGCGTCACACAGCGGTATCTATTCAGTGTAGCTTTCTGTGTCGCAGTCCTCTCGGGGTAATGCTGGCTCTGAAGCTGTGGTGCCCTCTTCACGTAGCAGTCCAGCCTTTCAGAACCCATTGGTGATGGTGGACTCATTCACTCTGCTCCACGCTGTTAGGATCCACTGGCAGACATCAGGAAATGATGCGCTTCACATTCGGCCAGTTTTTGTGAATGATTTATCCCCGTCAGTCATCCAAAAAAAAAAAGTCTACGACTCTTCACTCGACGTTTATCCACAAACTGGTCCCGGATTAAGCTCCAAAGTTTTTATCAGCCAGATTCCACCGTTAAAAAATGTCTGTTTTATCCCCTTTTATGAGTTTTTGGCCATTGACTATCTTTAAATCACTGCTTCCTGGTACAACAGTCGGCTCTGGAAGCGATCGCTTTTTTCTTCTTTTTTTTCCTTTCTTTTTTTGAGAGTGGTTGAAGCAAATGCAGCATAAGAGCCGCCTGGTGGCTGAAGAAAAAAATCCACGTAAAAGCCGCACCAGAGTATAAGCCGCATGGTTCAAAGTTCAGGAAAAAAGTCACGGCTTATAGTCTGAAAAATAYRGTAGTTATTAAGCTGTAARTGTAAARAAGGCACAACATAAGCCCCCATTCTGTTTCAATTCAGCAAAAAGATAAAACAAAGCTTTGACCACAACTCCCCCGAACAGCTAATTCGTTTCACCTTTCTTTCCTGTGTGCGTGGCTACATACAATGCAGCAATTCACTTTATCCAAAGTAAATTGGAGTGGGGTTGACATGAAACACAAAAGAGACAACCATTAGTTTCCAAAGTGTTACAGTCCAGTACAAAGGAGCTCTTTGTTCTCTATTATTTCTCCATTTTCATGGTTAGACAAAGCTAATAATCTACCAACAGTACCGTCGCAAATAGGAGCTGTCAATATTTTTTGGCAGTTAAGCTAATTTTTTTAACTACAAGAATACATCTTGCATTTGCAACATGGTGAATTTGTGCAAAGTAAATTTATTATGTTTCAGTGCTTCAAATGTTTTATGCTTTTGTTGCTGTTGTAAATCAATCATGATCAATATAAATTAATATTTTTGACAAAAGATTTTATATAAAAAAATCCTCTTCAATGTCAAACTGAAATTAATTTTTTACAGATTAATAGAYGCCAGTTAAATAAAAACATGTTTGTAGAACTAACATGTCTGAATGGATCAGTTTCGCACATCTGGATGCTGGAATTTTACTCTGTTTTTTTTATAGAAATGCTCAAGCTTTTTTAGGTCGCATGATGATCGGGCATGAACAGGAAAAAAAGGCAATAAACCAGATTGACGCAATTATACTAAGGATAACATTGATTAAAACTGTGACGGTCAATATGAACAGAGTGGAAAACAATACAGAACGTGTAGACAATAATGCTGAGGATCACTAAAGTGAGGAGGTAAGAGTAAAGTCTTAATAAAAGTGAAAAATGAAGTCTTTCTGACAAAGGAGCTTTGAATACTTTCATCATTTCATTGTAATTTAAAAACTAGGCTTATTGGTGAGCAATTATTTATTATTAGGTAATAAATCATCACTCCCATTAAATTGTAAGAGATCATTCCTTTGCTTTGTGCTTTAAAGCAAAGGGAGGGCAGGTGTAATAATGGAGAGCAGTGCTCCTGCAAACCTTGACTCTTAGCTTTAAATCAAAAGTGGTCATTAGACATGCAATTGTAGTTCTTTTTACTTGTTACAATTTAAGATAAATGTCTGTTTTAATAACAAAATACTGCAACAACACTTTCTTGGAAACACTGGCAGTCTTCGTAATTAGGGTAGTGTCCAGCTTAACTCTGAACTCTAGGTTACCTTCAATACGAACGGCATCCTTCATTAAACRCATTCCTTTTTATGGAAATAGCAATACTCCATTATTTTTTCTGAGAGCGGTTCTTTGTTTTTTGCTTATATAACAGGACGTGTTTATCCATCAGGGGTAATTAGAGACAAGTGGTYTATAGTAATAGTCACGAGATTTTGTTTTCCTAGTACAGCAAACAGCATGCCTATGGGTCATTACCTGTTAAWAACAGAAAACAAAGGTATCAAGTGGTTCAGAGAAAAAGCAATGAGATCAAAACTGTTTCCTTGGGAAGCTGGTATTGTTTTGTTTTTATGTTGGAAAATATGTGAAAAGTACTATGTGAAAGCTCACTTTGTGTCCTTCTGATTGGAAACATACGTACATTCAAAATATCAATTTTAAAGCACAAYCATGTAGAAAAGAATCAAGGTGTTTATTTCTTCTCAGTAAAAATTATTCACAGAATCTATTGCATAGATACCAGACATTCCCTTTTAACTTTTCAAAATAATCCAAATGTTTGTATTTGTATGGTTTTGTCAGTGTATGTTAGTAAAACAGGCTGTAAAAGACTTAAAAGAAGCCTTGTTGGAGATAATGACGATTTATTTCTCTTCCCTTTGTTTATTAGTTAGCAGCAAAGATAACTGAAGTTATGTCTGGGTTTAGGTTTAGTGGATTAGTGGGAAGAGGATTGAAGGAAGCAAGCAAGTCATGAATGAAAAGGGAGACGTATATTAATCATTAATATTCAGCGTTAGGATGAACGATGAGGCTGGAAAAGGACGAGGCTGAAAAGCGGTGAAATYTGAGAAGATTGGCAGCAGAAATCACAAAAGTGGGTCAGAAAAGTACTGTGCAGAAAAATGGAGGAAAGGAGCAAATATATGCAAATTTACCTTACTGCTCTTAATCTAAATGGTACGGGATAATTTCTGGGTTTAGGAGAAACCCCCCATTTCCCATCTCTTCAGAGTGAATTCTGTTTAATTTTATTCCTCCTTCTGACCTGTAGCTTGTTATTAAACTTATACAATTAATTTCAACTTTGGAAATGACATCGATAATCATAGGATGATTTTTTTWAATTGATGTATATGAAGGTAAAGAGAAATTGTTATTGCCATGCCTCTGAGTTATGCCGACCCAAACAGCTAGTCATTAAAAATGATTGCAACAGATGGCCTTACATCATTAAATTTCTGCTCACCTTTTCTTTTCACTGATTAACTGTCAAATATATGTATGGATATGTGAGCCACTTTTAGCTTTGAATGTGGCACACATCTACAGTGGCATTGACTGATGCAGTGTCACATTTGTTTAGGCTTAAATTTTGTCTCAAAGATCTTGTAGTAATGATAAGGGAGTTGGATTGCTGCAGGAAAAAAAACTCTTCCAAACACTCCTAATGGACCAATTCATACATGCGAATGATTTCTCAAGCTCCCCGAACCTCTTTTTCACKATTTGAGCCAGATGAGTTGTGTCATATTCGTGGTAAAATTTGCCCCACATCACAGAGGAAATGGATGGAGAGGTTTGGTTTATTCAGGTGGTCATCTGATCTCATGTAACTGCATAATTTATTTGCACCTGGTGGACCCAGACTCTGTTGGATCCAGATGGGACCTGGGAATAAACATAGTTAAAGGGGACATTTCATGGAAAAAMCACTTTTTTTAGCCCTTAAATACATTTTGTTGTGTACTTGGAGTCTCTAAAAGCGCAGACAATTTGAATTTAGTCTCTCTTGTAGATGCATAGATATCTTATATTCGGGTTKGGTCATGTTTTTCAATCCGATCAGTTTTCTCTATTTTTTATTATGTATTTTGAACAATAAATCACGGTTTTTGCTGCAGAACTGCTGACCAAGGTCATAGACTATCGGCTTACCATTTCTTGTAAATCCACAATTCTGTAGGTTTGTCATCTTCATCCTCCTCTTGTTCTGAGTCAGACTCTGGCTCCAACATGTAAGGCTGGATAGACAAGACTTCTGTTGTTATGTTTTAACCAGTTTGTAAATAAAAGCTTCTAGATCACTAGACAGTCGTATCTCTGCTATAAAACTCCAAAAATAGCGAAACGGGGTGCTCTCAAACGCACCTTAGAAAGTGGGTAAAAGAGGGGCTTGTGGAGCTACAATAAAGAGGAATTCAGACCAAAGCATTGCAGTTCTATAGTTCTATAAATGGTTCTATATGCAGGTATATAGACCCCCAACTGAATGATTTAAATGTGAAAAGAAAGAATTTAAAAGCGTGATATATCCCCTTTAAAAGAAAAGCATGCATCTTTAAATTTTAGTTTGGTTACAATACAAACAAAATATTCAGTTTCCTTTAGAAGTGAAAGTTAACTTTGTTCAGAACACATAAGTGAACACAAGTCATAAAAAAATGAGTTATTTCTAGAAGTACTGCTGCTAAAACGATATATAAACCTAAATATACCAGATAMAATTTTCTATCTTCACTTTTATTTGTTGTCCATCCTACTGTGAAGCTGATGCCATATTTTTTATCTTTTTTCTTAATGTTTTTTGCATACGATATAATCCATAATTTGACTTGAATTTGAATTTAACTGAACGACAATCCCAGCTTCATC